ATAAGAGCCATCGTCATCAGTGTACATAGTTGGAGTTTAAGGGTAATGAGGCGAGGCTTAAGGTCGTTATTGCAGTTGGAGTCGTTAACAGAAGGGCATTTTGGCAGCTTGTGTGGTATAACCGGTGGCCTGTAGTGTTGTCTCTCCCCGGCGTCCCTCACAGTCAGAAGTTTTGTGGTGTATCAACCGGGTGACTGTTGGGAGTGGCGGGGTAGTACTGAAACAGGTACACACACACACGCACACACACACACACACACACACACACACACACACACACACACACACACAAACAATTATGTGACGATCATATAGCATTGGCGTTTGTCTGCCTCGTTATGCAGTCGGGCTAACTCGAAAGTATTGACACCTTCTTGTGTGATGATCCTCCAAGCGTTGCGGTGTGGTGTGGAGTAATCGTCTCCCAGGTAAGGGGGTCGATTTGGCACTTTTTCAGGTTTGTCTTAAGACTATCCTCGTACCTTTTCAATTGGCCGCCAGCGGTACGTTTACTATTCATTAGGTGACTGTAAAGTAGCTGCTTTGGCAGGCTACTGTCATCCATGCGGGTAACATGGCCAGTCCAGCAAAGATGTTCATGGATAATGGTAGCCTCGATGCTTCCATCCTCAGGTGGGAGTCAAGATTAGTCGTACTATTTTTTTATATATAAAGAATCAGAACCGAGGCGGTATGAGATGGTAGAGGGGGGGGTGAGGGGAGGTAGTGATCCCATGGTGGTCCCTACGATTTTTTTTTTTGGGGGAAGGGGTCGAGAGAATAGGAGAAGCAGGGGGGATGAGGAAGGAGGAAGGTATCATCCCTGGTGTTGATGTAGAGAACCTGGCTACGCGAGTTACAATTAGTGAGAGGAGCAACACGCCACATCACTCCTGGGATTTGTGTCATCGATCATGGCCAAGGGGAGAACCTGGTGCGCCGGGCAAACACCGCCTCCGCTTCCTTACGCGACCTTGAATGTTGTGGGTTAAATGGACCCCAATTCTTAGAGGCTCTATTCCTAATAGGTTCCAGCCTTAAGAGGTCCAAGTTTTAATGGGTCCCAATCTTATGAGGTCCTTGTCCTTATTGGCACCAGTTATAACAGGCCTCAGTCTTCTTGAGCTAATAAGATAAGGGCCCATTAACGTTAGTGTTGCCCAGAGAATTGGAACCCCTCAGAATCGGTGCACCGTAGGAATGGGGCCCATTAGGACGGAGTCACAATCCTAATGGTGAGGTTTGAGTGGGTCAATATTGGGACCGGACCCCATTTCACCAGTTCCCCCCCCCTCCCCCCCTGTTCATGACCGAGAGGGGGAGGTGAGCGAGGAGGTGAGAAAGAGAGGCAGAAAGTTTTAATAAAAAAAAAGTGTTAAAAATACGAGAAAATCTGGCGTAAACACAGGAGCCCAACACTGCCTTCTGACGCTCCCTGGTCCACCTGCCGGCCCAAGGTGTAGAAGCTGTCGCCAACACAACAACCATACTCTTGAGTTAACGAGCTGCATGACCCGGTGTCAAGGAACCGTCCGAGAAGACCGGACAACTCTCTAACTGCACTGGCTAACATCCAGGTTCCCAATTACTGCTGGGTAGACAGAGGCAAATGGCGTTAGGAAACTTGCCCATAGTTTCACCCTGCCCGGGGGATCGAACACGGGGTCCACTTGCTTACGAGGCGAACATGCTGACAATTATACCACAGGTCGCACATACCACCGTTACCACCACCATACCAACCAACCACCACTATCACCCCTCCCTCCTTACTACCGCTCTCTACCAGTCCTCACACCACCACCACCACCATTGTTCCCACCTCTCCCCCTGCTACCACACGCACCACTCCCTCATCACCCCTGCCACCGCGCCCACCACCCTTACCACAAACACACGCTACTGGACACGCACGGAGGGAGTTAAAGAGGGAGAAGAAGAAGAAAAAAAAGGGGGAGGAAGAGAAAGAACAGACAATAAAAACACAAGAAAAATAGACTTGCATCATGGAATCAGTACACACACACACACACACACACACACACACACGCACACACACACACACACACACACGAGAGGGAGGCAGAGGGGAGAGGCAAAGTGACAGAGACAACGAAAAATATCACAGAAAAGGAAGGAGTGGAAGAAGGAAGTAGCAGAAACGACGAGAAGGAAGGAGTAAATAAAGGAAGTGGCAGAAACAACAACAGAAAGAAGGAAGGACGCAAGTGGCAGAAACAATCCAAAAATATTAAGGAAAAACAAGAGTAAATGGATATTGACAAAGAAATCTGACACTACCACCAACACCCTCCCTCATGACACACCCCAGCAGGCCTTTATGACACCAGGCACGCACGAGGGAGGAGGAAGAGAGAAGGAGAATAGACAAAAGAGATATTTACATGTATGTCCTTGACGAAGATGAATGTATGTACGTGTGTGTGTGTGTGTGTGTGTGTGTGTGTGTGTGTGTGTGTGTGTGTGTGTGTGTGTGTGTGTGTGTGTGTGTGTGTGACGGAGATCAATAGCAAGGCGAGAGAGGACAATGAACTTTGGAAGATAGATTGAATAATTTTACATCAACACCCACACACCGGGTATCAGGGAGGAGGAGGAGGAGAAGACGAAGAAGAAGAAGGAGGAGAAGAGGAAGAAGGAGGAGACGATTGAGGAGCGTGAAGGATAGGATAACATGATAAAGGGTTGAGATAAATAAAAGGAGGAACAAAAATCATAACTCGAGGTACAACGAACAATAATGAAAACAATGACGATAATAATGATGATACTAATAATAACAATGATGATGATAATGACGATAATGAGGGAACAAGATTTATGTACGGTCAGTAGTAAAATCTCTCTTGTAAAACGATGGTCATTGTATATTCGCCAGCTTGAGTCGCCAGCTTGAGTCCCCAGCTTGAGTCTCCCACCTTGAGTCCCCACCTTGAGTCTCCCACCTTGAGTCTCCCACCTTCCTTGAGTCCTCATCTTTAGGTCCCCACCTTTAGTCCCCACCTTGAGTCTCCCACCTTGAGTCTCCCACCTTTAGTCCCCACCTTGAGTCCCCACCTTGAGTCTCCCACCTTGAATCTCCCACCTTGAGTCCCCAGCTTGTGGCCGGTCCAGGGTACCTCACTATAAGGGCTTGAGGCATCAGGTGGTTGAGAGTACAGTAGTGTGGGTCTGGTAGGCGGGTCTTCACTACACCACCATATTGATTGGGCCTTACCTGTGTGGTGATGATGGTGGTGGTGATGATGATGATGATGATGATGATGATGATGATGATGATGATGATGATGATGATGATGATGATAAGGTCATTTATAACGATACTTGATATATTAGTTATGATAAAATAGTAATGAAAATGATGTCTATAATATTAATAATGATAATAATAATAATGATAGTAATAAGATAATTGATGATTATAGTAATAATTGTAATGATGATGGTGGTAATAGTAATTATATCAACGAAAATAATCATTGTGTCTCAGAGTTGTGAGTCAGTATTTATCAACTAAGAATTACTACGTATATTAAGAGTTGTTATAACCCCTCATGACATGTTGTGAGTTGTGGATTATTACAAGAATTAGACCATCGATACCTTCAGTAATTTACGACTAACAAGAACTTTTCCCCTTATTGGCTGGACGACGCACAGTGTAAGTGATTCAACCTAATACAATATTCAAGTTGTTATAGACAGTCGATTATAATACACGTATTTTAAATCAGAAAGACTATATTATTTTTAAGTTGGAGGTGTGATGGTTTGAAGAATGTTATGTTAGAATGTTCGTTCGTCATTCCCAAACATTCACAAGAGAGGTAACTGTTTTATCGTCATTCCCAAACATTCACAAGAGAGGTAACTGTTTTATCGTCATTCCCAAACATTCACAAGAGAGGTAACTGTTTTATCGTCATTCCCAAACATTCACAAGAGGGGTAACTATTTTATCGTCATTCACAAACATTCACAAGAGAGGTAACTGTTTTATCGTCATTCCCAAACATTCACAAGAGAGGTAACTGTTTTATCATCATTCCCAAACATTCACAAGAGAGGTAACTGTTTTATCGTCATTCACAAACATTCACAAGAGAGGTAACTGTTTTATCGTCATTCACAAACATTCACAAGAGAGGTAACTGTTTTAGCGTCATTCCCAAACATTCACAAGAGAGGTAACTGTTTTATCGTCATTCCCAAACATTCACAAGAGAGGTAACTGTTTTATCGTCATTCCCAAACATTCACAAGAGAGGTAACTGTTTTATCGTCATTCCCAAACATTCACAAGAGAGGTAACTGTTTTATCGTCATTCCCAAACATTCACAAAAGAGGTAACTATTTTATCGTCATTCCCAAACATTCACAAGAGAGGTAACTGCCATTATATTTCCCAAACATTTACTAAAGTAAGAAAGTTGTATAATAATCATTGTATAATTTATTCACCTTGAGGACTTGTTTGGGTAGGTTAGGTTATGAGTGTATTGTGTTGGAATGTCATGTGGAATTATATACAGGAGATAAGTTTTAAAGTGGTGGCGTAATTCTTGATCTTATCCTACAACAGGTCTGTATGGTCAACATCTAATGATAATGATGATGAGAATAATAATAAAGATGATGATGATGATGATGATGATGATGATGATGATAGCAATAATAACAGTAATACTCATAGCCTCACAAGACAGGGTAATGCCTTAATTAATTAATCAACACCCAATGTTTCCTCTCTTGTGTGTTGGCTTCGTCAGGAGGGACAGTTGAGAGTTTTACCAAGACGATCTGGGTCAAGGTATAGATCACAGGGAGGGATCATTGTAGAGCTGGGCTGGAATTTGGCATGGTGTCCCCTCGCTCTGTGTGTGTGTGTGTGGAGGAGCTCTTGGCACCATCCCCTCAACCAGCGCCGCTGCCACCTTCACCACTGCCACCGTCGTCCGCTCCCCTCAGTCTCTCTATGGCCGCCGTCCGGGGTAGGCTGCTCACCATCCTCTGCTCGTGAGCCCCCGATGTGCTGGTGACCCTCCCTTACCTTTCCTATCTCCATCTCTCCTTTTATCCCTTTCCGATCTTGTGTTGGTGAGATTGTGAGTGGTGATCGTCTTGTACCGGGGACCTCTTAGAGTGGCCAAGTGTTGTGGTGACCGATATCGTGTTGGTGACTTCCTCCTCGTCCCCCTAAATTTCCCGTTCCGATGTGGTGACCGTCTTTTGCTGGTGACCTTATACTGGTGATCTTGATCTGGTGACCATCTTGTACTGGTAAACTTAGAATGGTGATCCAATCCCGATGTGGTGACGCTTGTTGTGTTGGTGAGCCAGAGGTAGTGGTGATCGTTTTACACCGGTGAGGTCTCAAGGGCCGTGTTTGGTGACCGTAGAAATAGTGACCTTGTAGTAGTAGTGAGCTGTTGATATGGTGACACTTATTATGCTGGTGACCTTTTAGCAGCGACTGCAGATGTAGTGACCATCTTGTGCTGGTGAGCTGTGAAGGGCTGAATTCCGTTATGGAGAACACTTTCTCTGTGGTGATCATCTCCTGCTGGTGAACCGTGATGGACTGAGTTTCGATAGGGTAACCGTATCGTTTTGGTGACCTCATATTGGCCACCTTCGAATGTTGGTGAATTTCGATTTGGTAATCACTTGATGTTGGTGACATACTGTGCTAGTGAGTTTATGGTGGTGACCTCCTCATTGTGCTGATGAGTTAGATACTGGTGAAGAAGTGGGCTTTGGTATGGTGATCATATAATGTTTGACCCTCTTGATCTGGTGATCCTGTAGCGGTGACCTTATTGTAGTGAGCATTTTATCCGTTTGAAACTATATAATAGCGACCCTAGTGGTGATCATCATGTGCCTGGTGAACTTTAGTATCTTGACCTGCTTGTGTTGACTTCGTGTACTGGTGACCCTGGTTCTAGTGAAATAGTATTGGCGTGTTTTGATCGTGATAAACCGGTAACATTTTCGCTAATCATGAGTGCGATTTTGTTACAATCTCTGAAACTAATCTGTCTTTCTCCATGTGGACTGGAGTTGCCCTCGTACTCAAGAGGTAGAAAGCGAGGCGATTGTAATTACTTCATGTAGGTGTGTGTGTGCGTGACTACTGTGGGAATCGTGTTTGAAAGAAAATGAAGACTCGTTGATAGGTGAAGGATAGACTCATTTATTTTCTCATTAGGGGTGAGAGGCGAGAGTTAGGGTTGTGCCATATGTCTTGGGTTAGGGAGTAACTGGAGAGTCGTCGATGGGTGTAGGACAGACGCGCTTATTTTCACCCGAGGTGCTAAAGGCGAGAGGTAGTAGGGTAGTGCCAGCGGTCTTTTTTCGGCACGGGGGAAATATTTGGTTTCCCCCTGCGTGTAATGTTGTAAATATTTTGGTTACTGTTATGGTTTGGATCTACTTGTTTTGGCTGTGACGTTAGTGATGAGTTTGTGACGAGACGGCTGGTGGGGTTGGTGGTGGACCTCTCATGGCTAAACTTTTCCCTTCGCATTAATTACAGGTTTACCTCATGTGTGATACACCAGTCACAAGTTGCTGCTGCTCAATGATGATTTGAAAGTTCCTAAACAATAAACAAAACCAAAAAAATTGCAAGAATATATACGTACGATGGCAAATTGAAGACTTAAAAATAGTGAAATAAAAAGAAAAAAATTGAAAAGTAAGGTAGTGTGTGTGTGTTAGGGAGGGGTGTTTAAGGGGTGGGTTTGTGTGTGTGTGTGTGTGTGTGTGTGAAAGTGGGCTGAGGGGAAGGTGGTGGCCAGTATGAGGAGGGACAAGAAGAGGAGTGTTGGTGCCACTCCCACCACCACCACAACCTCCACTACCACCACCATCACCTCTACCACCACTAGACCAGGTAGGTGCAACGTGTTATAATAGGAATTATACTCTTTCTCTCCGTCCTATTTCTGTCTTCCACTCTCCACCACCCCTGCCACTGTCTCCTTCCTGCTTCTGTCTCCCTCCTGCTTCTGTCTCCCTCCTGCTTCTGTCTCCTCCTGCTTTTGTCTCCTTCTTGCTTCTGTCTCTCTTCCTGCTTCTGTCTCCCTCCTGCTTCTGTCCCCCTCCTGCTTCTGTCTCCCTCCTGCTTCTGTCTCCCTCCTGCTTCTGTCTCTCTGTCTCCTTCTTGCTGTCTTCTGTTCTGTCTCCCTCCTGCTTCTGTCTCCTCCTGCTTCTGTCTCCTTCCTTCTGTCTCTCTTCCTGCTTCTGTCTCCCTCCTGCTTCTGTCTCCCTCCTGCTTCTGTCTCCTTGTTCCTTCCGTCCCCTCCTGCCACTGTCTCCCCTGCCACTGTATCCTTCCTGCCCTGTCTCCCTCCTGCTTGCCCCTCCTGCTTCTGTCTCCCTCCTGCTTCTGTCTCCCTCCTGCTTCTGTCTCCTCTTCTTCTGTCTCTCTTCTTGCTTCTGTCTCCTTCTTGCCTGTCCCTCCTGCTTCTGTCTCTTCTTATGTCTCCCTCCTACTTCCTCCTCTCCGCTGTCTCCCTCACATCTCCCTCCTGCTTCTGTCTCCTTTGCCTTTTCTTCTCTTCCTGCTTCCTCCCCTCTCTTCTATCTCCCTCCTTCTTCTCCCCTCCCTTCTGTCTCCTCTTGCTTCTGTCCCCTCCTGCCTTCCTCCTCCTGCTTCTGTTCCTCCTCCTGTTTTGTCTCCTTCTGTCTCCTCTTTGCTTCTGTCTCCTCCGCTTCTGCTTCTCCTCTCTGCTTCCTCGCTTCTGTCTCTCCTAGCTTCTGTCTCCTCCTGCTTCTGTCTCCTCAGCTTCCTTCCTCCTGCCTGTCTCCCTCCTGCTTGTGTCCCTCCTGCTTCTGTCTCCCTCTAGCTTCTGTTTCCCTCCTGCTTCTGTCTCCCCTCCTGCTTCTCTTCTCCTTCTGTCTCTTCCTTCACCCTCTTGCTTCCTGTCTGCCTCTGCTTCTGTCTCCTCTGCTTCTGTCTCCCTCCTGCTTCTGTCTTCCTCCTGCTTCTGTCTTACCCTCCTGCTTCTATCTCTCTTCCTCTTCTGTCTCCCTCAACTTCTCTCCCTCCTGCTTCTGTCTTCCTCTTTCTTCTGTCTCCTTCCTGCTTGTCTCCCTCAGCTTCTGTCTCCCTCCTGCTTATGTCTCCCTCCTGCTTCTGTCTCCCTCTCCTTGCTGTCTCCTCCTGCTTCTGTCTCCTCCTGTCTCCTGCTTCTGTCTTCCTCCTGCTTCTGTCTTCTCCTCCTTCTGTCACCCCTCCTGCTTCTGTCTCCTCCTGCTTCTGTCTCCCTCCTGCTTCTATCTCGCCTCCTGCTTCTGTCTCCCTCCTGCTTGTCTCCCCTCAGCTTCTGCTCTCCCCTGTTCTGTCACCTCCTCGCTTCCTCCTTTCTGTGTCTCCCTCTGGCTTGTCTCCTCCAGCTTCTGTCTCTCTCCTGCTTATGTCTCTCCTGCTTCTGTCTCCCTCCTGCCTGTCTCCCCCTGCTTCTGTCTTCCTCCTGTCCTCTTCACCCTCCTGCTTGTCCCTCCTGCTTCTGTCCCTCCTGCTCCTGTCTCCCTCCTGCTCCTGTCTCCCACCTGCTTCTGTCTCCTCCCCTGTCTCCCTCCTCCCCTGTCTCCCCTTGCCCCTGTTTCCTCTCCTTTGTCTCCCTCCTCCTCCTGTCTCCCCCTGCCCCTGTCTCCTCCTGTCTGCCCTCCTGCCTGTCTCCCTCCTGCCTGTCTTCCTCTCCCCTGTCTCTGCTTCTGTCTCCCTCCTGTTTCTGTCTCCCTCCTGCTTCTGTCTCCCTCCTGCTTCTGTCTCCTCCTGTCTTCCTCCTACTTCTGTCTCCCTCCTGCTGTCTCCCCCCTTGCTTGTCTCCCTCCTTCTGTCTCCCTCTGCTTCTGTCTCCCTTCTGCTTGTCTTCCTCCTGCTTCTGTCTCCCTCCTCTTCTGTCTCCCTCCTGCTTCTGTCTCCTCCTGCTTCCTTCCCCTCCAGCTTCTGTCTCCCTCCTGCTTTGTCTCCCTCTTGCCTGTCTCCTTCCTGTGTCTCCCTCCTGCTTCTGTCCTCCTACTTCTTTCACCTCCTGCTTCTGTCTCCCTCCTGCTTCTGTCTTCCTCCTGTTTCTGTTTCCTCCTGCTTCTATCTCGCCTCCTGCTCCTGTCTCCCCTGCTTGTCCCCTCCTGCTTCTGTCTCCCTGTTCTGTCTCCTGTTTGCTTCTGTTCCTGCTTGTCTCCTTCCTGCTTCTGTCTCCTCCTGCTGTCTTCCTCCTGGTTCTGTTTCCTCCTGCTTCTATCTGCCTCCTGCTCCTCTCTCCCCTTGTCTCCCTCCTGCTTCTGTCTCCCTCTGCTTCTGTCTCCCTCCTGCTTCTGTCCCTCATGCTTCCTCCCTCTGCTTCTGTCTCCCTCCTGTTTCTGTCTCCCTCTGCTTCTGTCTCCTCCTTCTGTCTCCTTCCTGCTTCTGTCTCCCTCCTGCTTCTGTCTCCTCTTTCCTTCTGTCTTCCTCCTGCTTCTGTCTCCCTCCTGCTTCTGTCTCCTTCCTTTGCCCTGTCTCCCTCCTGCTTCTGTCTCCTTCCTGCTTCTGTCTCCTTCCTGGCTTCTGTCTCCTCCTGCTTCTGTCTTCCTCCTGTTGTTTCCTCCTGCTTCTATCTCGCCTCCTTCCTGTCTCCCCTGCTTGTCTCCCTCCTGCTTGTCTCCTCCTGTCTTCTGTCTCCTCCTGCTTCTGTCCCCTCCTGCTTATGTCTCCTCCTGGCTCCTGTCTTCCCTGCTGCCTCTAGCTTCTGTCTCCCCCTGCCTGTCTCCCCAGCTTCTGTCTCCCTCCTGTGCCTGTCTCCCTCCTGCTTCTGTCCCCCTCCTCTTCTGTCTCCTTCCTGCTCTGTCTCCTCCTGCTTCTGTCTCCCTCCTGCTTCTGTCTTCCTCTGCTTCTTCTCCCTCCTGCTTCTGTCTCCTTCCTTCTGTCTCCCTCCTGCTTCTGTCTCCTTCCTGCTTGTCTCCTTCCTGCTTCTGTCTCCTCCTTCTGTCTTCCCCTCCTGTTTCTTTCCTCCTGCTTCTATCTCGCCTCCCTGCTCCTGTCTCCCCTGCTTGTCTCCTCCTGCTTCTGTCTCCCCTCCTGTTGTCTCCCTCCTGCTTGTCTTCCTCCTGCTTCTGTCTCCCCTCCTGCTTCTGTCTCCTTCCTGCTTCTGTCTCCCTCCTGCTTCTGTCTCCTTCCTCCTTCTGTCTCCTTCCTTTGTCTCCCCTCCTGCTTCTGTCTTCCTCCTGGTTCTGTTTTCCTCCTCTTCTATCTCGCCTCCTGCTCTGTCCCACTTGTCTCCTCCTGCTTCTGTCTCCCTCCTGCTTCTGTCTCCCTCCTGCTTCTGTCTCCTCCTGCTTCTGTCTCCCTCCTGCTTCTGTCTCCCTCTGCTTCCTTTTCTTCCTCCTGCTTCTGTCTCCCTCTCCTGCCTTCTGTCTCCCTCCTGCTTCTGTGTCTCCCTCCTGCTTCTGTCTCCCTCCCTGCTTCTGTCTCCTCCTGCTTCTGTCTCCTTCTCTTCTCTGTCTCCTTCCTGCTTCTGTCTCGACCTGCTTCTGTCTCCTTCCTGCTTCTGTCTCCCTCCTGCTTCTGTCTCCTTCCTGCTTCTGTCTCCTTCTGCTTCTGTCTCCCTCTGCTTCTGTCTTCCTCCTGGTTCTGTTTCCCTCCTGCTTCTATCTCGCCTCCTGCTCCTGTCTCCCCTTCTCTCCCTCCTGCTTCTGTCTCCTCTGCTTCTGTCTCCCTCCTGCTTCTGTCCCCTCCTCTTGTCTCCCCTCCTGCTTCTGTCCCTCCTGCTTCTGTCTCCTCCTGCTTCTCTCCCCTCCTGCTTCTGTCTCCTTCCTGCTTCTGTCTCCTCCTTCTATGTCCTTCCTGCTTCTGTCCTTCCTGCTTCTGTCTCCCCTCCTGCTTCTGTCTTCCTCCTGGTTCTGTTTCCCTCCTGCTTCTCTCGCCTCCTGCTCTGCCTCCCCTGCTTGTCTCCCTCCTGCTTCTGTCTCCTCCTGCTTCTGTCTCCCTCCTGCTTCTGTCCCCCTCCTGCCTGTCTCCTCCTGCTTCCTGTCTCCCTCCTGCTTCTGTCTCCTCCTGCCTGTCTCCTTCCTGCTTCTGTCTCCCTCCTGCTGTCTCCCTCCTGCTCTGTCTTCCTCCTGCTTCTGTCTCCCTCCTGCTTCTGTCTCCTTCCTGCTTCTGTCTCCCTCCTGCTTCTGTCTTCCTTCTGTTCTGTGTCCTTCCTCGCTTCTTCTTCCTCCTGGTTTCTGTTTCTCTCCTGCTTCTATCTCGCCTCCTGCTCCTGTCTCCCCCTGCTTGTCTCCTCCTGCTTCTGTCTCCCTCCTGCTTCTGTCTCCTCCTGCTTCTGTCCCCCTCCTGCTTATGTCTCCTCCTGCTTCTGTCTCCCTCCTGCTTCTGTGCTCCTCCTGCCACTGTCTCCCCTGCCCTTTCCTCCTGCTTGTCTTCCTCCCCTGCTTCTGTCTCCCTCCTGCTTCTGTCTTCCCCTGCTTGTCTTCCTCCTGCTTCTGTCTCCCTCTGCTTCTGTCTCCCTCCAGCTTCTGTCTCCCCCAGCTTTGTCACCCCTCTGCTTCTGTCACCCTCCTGTTTCTTATTCCCTCCTGCTCCTGTCTCCCTCCTTCTGTCTTCCTCCTGCTTTGTCTCCTCCTGCCTGTCTC